GGTCAGGGGGGAGATGGGGGGGAGATGGAGGAGATGAAGGGGGGGGAAGGGGAGGGGAGGGGGGAGAGGGTGGAGAGGGGAGATGGGATGGGCAGGGGGAGATGGAGGGGTCAGTGAGGGTCAGTGGGGAGATGGAGGGGTCAGTGAGGGTCAGTGGGGAGATGGAGGGGTCAGTGAGGGTCAGTGGGGAGATGGAGGGGTCAGTGAGGGTCAGTGGGGAGATGGAGGGGTCAGTGAGGGTCAACGGGGATATGGAGGAGTCAGTGAGGGTCAGTGGGGAGATGGAGGAGTCAGTGATGGTCAGTGATGGTCAGTGGGGAGATGGAGGGGTCAGTGAGGGTCAGTGAGGGTCAGTGAGGGTCAATGGGGAGATGGAGGAGTCAGTGATGGTCAATGGGGAGATGGAGGGGTCAATGAGGATCAAAGGGGAGATGGAGGAGTCAGTGATGGTCAATGGGGATATGGAGAGGTCAATGAGGATCAAAGGGGAGATGGAGGAGTCAGTGAGGATCAATGGGGAGATGGAGGGGTCAATGAGGATCAATGGGGGTCAGTGGGGGGATGGAGAGGTCAATGGGGAGATGGAGAGGTCAATGGGGGTCAATGGGGGTCAGTGATGGTCAGTGATGGTCAGTGATGGTCAGTGAGGATCAGTGGGGAGATGGAGGAGTCAATGGGGAGATGGAGAGGTCAATGCGGGTCAGTGAGGGTCAATGGGGGTCAGTGATGGTCAGTGATGGTCAATGAGGGTCAATGGGGTTCATTGGGGGTCAGCTTGGGTCAGTGATGGTCAGTGATGGTCAGTGAGGGTCAGTGATGGTCAGTGAGGGTCAGTGATGGTCAGTGATGGTCAGTGAGGGTCAGTGATGGTCAGTAGGGAGATGGAGGAGTCAATAGGGAGATGGAGAGGTCAGTGGGGGTCAGTGAGGGTCAATGGGGGCCAATGAGGGTCAGTGGGGGTCAATGGGGAGATCGAAGGGTCAGTGATGGTCAGTGATGGTCAACGGGGGTCAATGAGGGTCAGTGATGGTCAATGAGGGTCAATGGGGTTCATTGGGGGTCAGTGATGGTCAGTGATGGTCAGTGGGGGTCAGTGATGGTCAGTTTGGGTCAGTGATGGTCAGTGGGGGTCAGTGAGGGTCAGTGATGGTCAGTGATGGT